AATGGCCATGGAGATGGTTTTTCATGAGAATGAGCAATGAAATGGGTGATATAACTTAACATACTATCTTCCTTTAGTGGCGGTGACACGAACTCCTGATCTATTGTGTCTCCGTTCCCAGCCACCATCGATTCAGAGATTTCAGTGCTTTGTTCAGGAGATGATGATCTATTCGATTCTTCTGCCTCTATGCATCAAACTTCCTTGCATAAATCCTCCGAAGTCCCATGTCCCAACTCCGTCCAGAATTGCTTCGGATGAACATAGAAACACCAACCAACAGCTGTGGAGAAGTATCATTCGGCACAAAGTTCTCTTCAAATTCAGGAAGAATTTGTATGCAGTGATCATCAGAGCTTCTCCCACTATGTCCATAAGAATAAATAGATCTCTTGACTGATCTAACACCAATGTCCAAGGAGTGAGGACTTGCCAAAGAGGAAGTCTCTGGTACTGGATTTTCAAATTCCGGTGACTTCCGAACTAGCAAGCGTGGGTAGTTATTAAAACCTACCTGGAGAAGTACAAAAGGAAAAAATAAATAAACTCAACTAAACAAGGCACGCCTAGATGATATGGATGCTTCGGTACAACAATTTAACTACAGTTACCCGTGTCATTGAATGTCCCTCATCCCCAACCAGTTGTAGCAAATCCTGAACCTGACATTGAGCTAAGTCTCGTTGAACAGTCACATCTATCATCTCCTTCTCCAACTGCACAAGTAGAAAAAGTAAATAAATAAAAAGAAAATGGCATTCAACGCCTGAGCCCATAAGACAAATGCTGCTTCTTGCATGGATGGAAAAATTTGCAGCATGTTCGTGAATTATACTTCAAATGTTAGTAGCTCAAGGTGCACTCTTAACTTTCCCCAAAAATGTCATTTGAAATTGAACTTTTTAAGCCTACAGCTATCAAAAAGTCAAATAAGCAGACATTAGAAGGATTTCCATATGTGATGCCATGGTTCTTCAGACTTTTTAAGCCTACTTCCTTCTGCAATGATCTTGTGTTTTTTTTTATCAAATCAAGACACATTAGCAAAGTATATAATTTAACAATTGAGTTAAAACTGAAGTAAAATGACATTAAAACCATAGATCCTAAAATGACATAGTTTTGTTTAACTTTAAACATAGGCCAATGGATTACTACAAGAAGTCCAAAATTCGTTGTAGAGAATCTTGACCCGGGCAACGATGGTCCACCAAATTAATTACCATTTTCTGTTAGGTTAAGTTGTTAAAGATATCCCTTACGGTGAAGTAAAAGTCAAATGAAGTATCTAAACCGCAACCTTGCAATGTTATTAAACCAAATGGTTCATCAACAGATCTCATATTTTCAAGTTGGTATTGTTCTTGAGGTGGATTTTGTTGACATTTCAACTGGTCCTCTCTTGTAATAATCTAAGAGTTACAAAATTATTCTGCTTTTAGATCACAAAAGTCCTAAAAATCCAACCAAAATTGAAATGAGATTGTCAAAGGATTAGAAGCAAGACGAGGAATAAAGATTAGAAATGAGTAAATAGACCAAGAAAATTCTTTTTGCATGTTCCGTGCAGAACAACAAATATACAAAAGGCTTAATATGAAAAACAGACAGTGAAAAGGCATGAAAGTCATGCAACCTAAAAGAAAAAATGGAATTAATTATAAATGATGGCGAAGGATGCACGCGGAAATAAGGGTTTAACAGCAAAGATTACACTTATGTTTGCCAAACTAACTCACTCTAGTGGATGTGATCATGTGACATAATTTAGGGAAAATTTCACTCTACCCTCCAATGTGGTTTAATCTATGTGCGGATTACTCCCTATCATTTGGAAAGAAAATTTCACTCTACCCTCCAATGTGGTTTAACCTATGTACGGATTACCCCTTATTATTTGGAAATAACCACATAATCCTCTTGTAGTTTGTGGACTGAAGTGCACCATTAGGCATTATGTCCAAGTTAACAAGTGTGAAACACATGCCAGGACATGAAGGGGTTATGCGCTCATTTCTAAATGTCAGAGGGATAAATTGCACATGGAGTAAAACAAAGAGGGTTAAAGTAAATTTTGTCTCCCAAAAAAATGAAAAAAATGTTTGTGGTTTGCATAATCAAGTTACTTATGTACAAGGTTTTTTAGTCCACAAACTAGAGGGGGTTATGTGCTTATTTCCAAATGACAAGGGGTTATGTGCACATAGGCCAAACCACAAGGGGGTGAAGTGAAATTTTCCCTATAATTTTTAATTTAAGATTCAGAAGTACCACATTGTGGTTTTAAAGAGTCTTGAAATTTATATTCCTCATGCAACAATTACACATAAATTTATGAACTGTTCGATATTGAAGAGGTATTGCAATTTGATAATGAAAGCCCAATCATTACCTTTTCAATCTGAAGTCCTTTCTCTCTCAGTAATGCCAAATAATGTGATGCAACAAAGGTGGGAGGTGGGGCCACTTGACCGTTCTCAGGATTCACTCCTCCAATCCTAGACTAATTGTCGCTCTGCAGATGCTTTATAAATGCTTTTGCTGATATTAGCCTACAATGTAACTTGAGTGTTCATAGTTGTATTCAGTTTAGCTACTCTTCTGCCACCTAAACTTGCAACAATAGGGTATTAAGTCATCTTAGATTTGATACAACTAGACTTCTTTGATCTAGCATCACAGGCCTTCATGGTTATCGGATGGAATATAGCTAAGGTCTATTCAAAGAGCAATGCTTCCACAACTGATACAGAGGATTGCAATATAGGCGACAGGTCATAGCATCTAGAAATACTCTGATATAAGAACATGTCACGATTCCTTTCCTCTAAAGCACGCATTTAGGCACCCCAATAGAATTAATGAGGTACAACAACACAATGATAACAAAAACTTGCAATCAACCAACAGCGAGAATAATAGTTCAGGAAACTCGCAAACAGCCTATTAACAGAGAATCAAGACTAAAGACACAACATAAATAAGACAGAAAGAGGAAAAGGGCATGATAAGATAAAGAAGAATTGACCAAGAGGCCGACACACCATGTCTCCAAGAGGGAGAGAGAGTTGTCATACATTTCTAGCGTTGATCTCTCACAGAGAATGACGCCACAACCAACAATCTCTTGGGACCCCATTCAGGTGAATGAAAATCATCATGCGACTCCAACAGCGGAGATGTACTAAACCCAAGAGTGATGATAGTAATCTGAGAGAATATGCGATCCGGTTTAACCCCTTGTTGTACAGTGAATCCGGACATGTGTCGTCGGATGTTGGTAGTTGGCTTTATTATCAATGTTACATTCCTTTTCTTCATATTTGGAGTTCATAGGATGTGTTAGGCCAACTTGCCTCTGTTTGCAACACTACTCCTCAGAAACTTTGCACGCAAGGCCATCCAAAAAAGGAAAACATAAACAAAGTTTAGTCTCTACATCTGACCGGTCTTCATGTGTTTGTGTTCGGTGGGACCGAAAAGCTAGTGTTGTGTGCCGAATTTGGACCTAGAGGTGGCTTTTTGGTGACGCGAGGAGTTGGTCGCTCGAAGCGAGAGTGGGGTCTTCCGTATTGTGTTTTGGGGGTGGTCGAGCCCAGAGTGGCCCTTCGCGGTGTCGATGGAGGCGAGAACCAGTCTGCGCGACCAAGCGGTTGCTCTCTGGTTTTGCCTCTATAGCACACCTGAGAGCTGTCTTTCTGGGCTCGAGCGAGCATTCCTTCGCTCGAGCGTCTGGGTTTTTGTTAGCATTGACAGCTCAAAGAAAGGGAAGTCGGCCAGCTCGGACTTCTTCGGTTCTCGAGAGTCGTGATAGTTTTTCTCGTGTCTGGTCGCAGGTCGAGCGAGCCAAGCCTTCGCCTCGAGGAGCCGAGTCGTTTATATCAGCGGACAGTAGCAGTTTTATTAGTCTCACCATAATCACTTTTCACTTCTTTTCTTTGAGCAAACCTAAATCCGCCCCTCTCTCTCTAAACTTATACTCCTCTCCTAAAGATGTTGATCTCCCTAGAGTGTGAATCTACGCCTAGGCCTTTGTTAAAAAGATAGAAGGGTTGGTTGAGAGCTTCGATTTAATCTGAAAAAGTTGGATTTGGAGCAAGTTGATCTTCGAGTCTTCATCTCTTTTTGGGCTTAAAACTGTTTGAGGTAGGGATACTCTACTCCTCTCTAGAATTTGTTTTAAATTTTCGGTATTTTGAAGATGTTGGCGATTTGTCGTATCTATGGTATATTTTTTGTGTGATAAGTTGGGGCTTTTGTGTATATTTTACAATAAGTTGGGGTTTTTATTCATAATAGACACCTGGATGCATGTTTGGCATAGGATTGAATCGAATACTTAAATCATTGATGAAATCCCGGACCCTAAGGAGGATAATGAAAGTGAGTAATTAGCATAAGAAAGGAGTGAAGGCAACCTAAGTGTACATATTGTTGAATTTAGTCTAGAAGGATAATATGGTAACATTAAGTGGCAGAAATGAGGAAATTGAAATGTTAATTGCAATAATCCCATCTTGTGACATTTACCTCATTCCTGCTCTTAACGTCATAATAATAATTGACCACTGTCTCATAGGAGGTGGGCTTAGGGTTCTGCGTCCGGAGGATGTCCGTGGATCCGTGTAGACCCATTGCACCGAGATGATTGCACGAACCATATGTAACAAATCCAATGAAAATGTTGTCATGGAACTTGACAGTTGATAGATACCATTAACCTAGATATGTATTCGCGCATGGGTGTTACTAATGTTGCATTGAATCGAGCAACCATTGTGTTTGTATTACGTTATGTGTGAGAGGAGGAGAAGAGGGGCATGTACTCGCCACCCCAGCGGTTTTTTCAAGCGAGGATAATCGAATAAGTGAAGGAATAGTAACGACATGCACACTACTAACAAGAGCACATTAAGTGTGGTGCCTAGAGAAACTCATATCGAGTGTAGTGGATGACTTCCGTAGATACCAAGCTACAATATGTATACTGTATAAATTGAAGTGAGTTAGCATTAGACGCATTATATGTTCCTTATGGGTAAGTGTGAATATGGTTGTGGATTATAGTTTATCATAATCTAGCCTCCTTCATCAGTTGAGATATATATAAAGTGGCAGTATTTGCTCTTGTCTCATTTTTCATCACCATCTGTTGTAGGTTTAGAAAATAGACCGACCTGCATATAGCTTTTAATATGTTCCTAAAATTCGAAGATAAGTAGGGATATGGCTAGTTTACTTAAAGGCAAAGGGCATATTGACTGTAAGTATAATGATGAAAGAAGACTAAACCGCCTCGCTCTTCCGTTCCTGATCTGATAAAGGGTTAAATGAAAGGTAACTTGACTCCCAATAATGATTGCTATGACATAAAATGCTCGTAATTTAATGTGAATGTATCGCTAGAGTTGGACAATACCACTGATCTATATCCCAATTGCAACCATTTTAGTCATTGTTCTGGTTGGTTTATGTGTAATTTCTAAGTTTAGAGGACTCTAGGTCTAACCTGATCTAATTAGAGCATGATAAGGAATTGAATATTCTTGAACTAGAAGTGCAACTAGCTGAAAGGACCATATTGGACACTAGACTGAAATTTGAAAACTGGACATAGCTGGGGTGAATTGAACTGCTAGAGTAGGGCGGATCCACTCATTTTTTGTGCTTAAAACTTTTGATGTATACATGTAACTCAAGCAAGGGCTTTATGTTACCCGAGTTAGTACCTCCTTTTGTTGGTAACCAAGTGTTAACTTGGAAAAGCTGTAAGCCGTAGCGGCATTTTGTTTATGATGTTAACATGTAATACTTAATGTAGGAACTCTAAGGAATAAAGGAATGTGGTTCGTTTCTATGTAAATGCATGCTTAATCAGATGGGTTTAATGTTGTTATTTTGAAGGCGTTACACTTGGTATCAGGCGTTTATCTAATTGTAATTCGGGTATTTCGAATACTTGTGGTGTTACGTGGGTTAAGTATGATTAGTTTCAATTGACTATATCAATGGGTTTTGTCTCTGTGCTCTGAATGGAGACTTAGATTTGTAGTATCAATATGCTAATGTCTGCTTAAATGTCTCTAATTGATTGGTTTCACATTAATGTTTACGCGGGTAAATTTGAGGGATGTGATCCTTTCTAGGTAATGATTCTGATGTGCGATCCTTGGAGGCCTTTCTGGGATCTGAGGGTACTTCTTGATTGAGACAAAGCACTTTGATTTGAGATGCTGTGTCTATTCTTGATCGTTAGATCTGACATGAGTAGTGAAACTCATTCTTGTAAATCGGCAATATTTACTGGAAAACTGGCATTTGGCGTGGACTTATGATCATTATATAACGCAGAGTAATAATAAATGAAAAGCGTCAAGTCTCGCTTCATAAATTTGATGTATTATGACTATAGCTGTGGATGTGAGACTATGTGTACCATTTTACCATGCTTTATGGGCAACTGAAAGGTTTGAAAGTTGGAGTTATCGGCACCACCTACACCTAAATATGCTGTTGTGGAGCTACGTTCTGTGTTGCTTTAAATTTAGGGCCTTATAGTTCCAACAGACCTTATACGCACGCAGCACGAAGTCATTGATGCGAGTCGAGCCCGTGGCAGAACACTGCGAGCCAGGAAGTACCGTTACCGTTTGAGAAGGGCGTGAGCACTTCCGGCAGTGCAAGCAAAGAGACCGAAAGTTGGAGCTAGGAGAGGCAAGAGAGGTGAGTGGCCGAGACCAGTGGGGGAACTTTAGCTTGATCTTCGAAATTATGGTCCGTTTGGTGCTGACCAATTTTGGTCAGTGAAAGGATAAATCTGAGGGAAACGCGCGTTGGGTAATATCTTTTGAAAGATGCTGAGGAATTAAGGTTCAGACGTGAGGCAAGGGCCTTCGTTCGCTTGAAGACGGGAGTTTCTTCCTCGGCTCCCTCAACATCTCAGGATGAGTTTTGTCGGGGAAAAGTCCGAAAAGGAGCCCATGACCCGGCTGAATGAGTGGTTAAGAGCAAAAATGAGTAAGAACGTTCGAGAATGCTTGCATCGAGGACGGCAAGCACCTGAAAGTGCCTTGGCATCCTTCCAGCTGAAAGGAGAATGCGGGCTTAACTAAATCATATGGGGAGCTCGGTAAGTACGAAAGGGAAAGTGTTGACTGCAGCGTCGTGCGTGTGGGTTTGTTGGAATTGTGAAACTCTTGTGCGTCAGGTCACCATATGTGGTAGCAATGCTTTTTTCCAGGAACAGATGTGTGCTAATTTTAGGTGGTAATATCTGCAGTCTAGACAAGTCAAGTAATGTAAGGTATACCTTTAGAATATCAGTTATTAGGTGGGAACCGGCTTAAATCGTCTAGGCTATGTCAGCTCGTGCCAGAAGTTTCGCACGGAGCTAACTTTGTTACCCAAGTGCACTGGTCCGGTTTGCACTCTGAAAAGTGACCTTGTGGGTAGAGCGTCTTCTGTGTAGAGCTGCTGGCTCTTCCGATTGGCTGATGAGGATTATTTGAGGTCAGGCATGCATGAACGTCATTTAGGGGTTATGGGTATCAAAGTTGATGAGCTTGATGGTTTGGGTTTCCTTACCTATCTTCGATGTATTTTGTGTTACACCAGTATGAGTTAATTGGTCGTTCATGCTTGGAGCTGTATTGATATCAAATGGCTTTGAAATGTAAATAGTATTTATAGATTCACGAATCAGGAGCGAATGGTATTGAAGTTGGCATGGTTTCTTGGGTATGTTCATTTAAACAAGAGAAGACCACAAGATGTGTATGTTCAGAGAATTAGTCTAGGAGTTGTTTTAAGTGAGACTCTTGGCCCGTGGGCAGAGGGGAGTTCCTATACCTCGGGACAGTTTCTGAGCAATTAAGGGGGGCTGCGCCTGTTTCTTTGAGATCTGCCAATGTGGTACAAAGGTGATCCGAGAGTGTATGTGCTTGATCCGTGGCGTTTGAGAGCGTGGGGATAAAGAGTTGCGGAAATTCACCTTTTACAAGTGCGGAGGATGCCGGGGACAGAGTTTGATTCTGCGATATGTGAGTTTTAAAGATCTGCCTTGGGCTTGTTGAGACCTATGGAGGGTCGAGAGAGGTCAGATACATGGTGCTGTACTTACTCTTCAGCTTACCGAGAATTTGGATCCTCACGGAAGAGTCAGAGTTTGGGCAGGGTGGGCCAGAGCCGCGTTGATTGTTTTCGTGTGGACAGTCTGGGAGCACATGTATGGTATCGGTTCATGGCTCAGAAGTTTTGAGTGCACG